TCGTTGTTTGTTGTTATTGTTGTTTGTTGTTGTTGTTCCTGTTGTTGTTTGGTGTCGTTGTTTGTTGTTGTTTTTGTGTTTGTCGTTGTTGTTGTTGTTGTTTGTTGTTGTTGTTGTTGTTGCTGTTGTTGTTGTTGTTTGTTGTTGCTGTTGCTGTTGTTGTTTGTTGTTGTGGTTGTTGCTTGTTGTTGTTGTTGCTGTTGTTGTGTTTTTTGTTGTTGTTTGTTGTTGTTGTTGTTATTGTTGTTTGTGTTTGTTGTTGTTGTTGAGCGCCAGACGCCTGACCATATATGTTTAGATATTTTCAGGAATTACTATTATGGTTTGGGGGAGTATCCCCCATAGCAGTACCTAGGACCCTTTGGGTAGTGATCTCTACTTGGAGGTTCATGGGTAGTTATAAGAGGGGTTATAAGTCTCCTATCATGGGTTATATCTATAGTAATCCTACGTAAAACCCTACTTATAACTATCCATGAACCTCCAAGTACTGGTTTCTTGTTAAGGACTTGAGTTTAAGTTACCATAATAGGGGTCTATCATAGTAGCAAAGAATACGGTTTCTGTGTTAGGGTAATTGACTTAAACTAAATTCCATAGCAAGAACCCGAAAGGTCCTATGTACTGTTATGGGAGATACTTCCCGAAATCATAATGGTAATTCCTAATATGGAAACCCTATGAATTCTACTATAGAGGTACTTTGGACCCTCTGGGTTATACCCCTAACCCTTAAATCTTAAACCCTATACTAAAGTGACAAGAGGGAACCCGGAAACTGGTATTGGGTACTTTGGATCCTTGGGAACCCAGTCGAGGGGGGTCCAGACGAATCTCCATCAGGTGTTGGGCGGTGTAGGGTTTATAGTTTTCTAGAATCCGTGGGACTTTGTAAGTATAAGGTTAGAAAGAAGGTAATTATACCTACAATTACGTATAGTGCCAATTGATGTACTTACAACCTTACCTGCCAAGTCCCATGACCCTCCAAGTATTTCTACCGGTCGAGAAGGGTCCATGAAGAATTTAGGGCTCAGGCTTTTCGGCTTAGGGCTTAAGTATCTGTAAAGGATCTATGAGGTTCTATTGCATGAGGGATCTAACAAAGGATCTTGCAGCAAAGAAAGACGGAATTAGTCTGGGGTTTTGAGAGGGTTAGGCGATAGATGCATTAATGACGGTTCCCAGGGAAGCATATCTAAGGAAGACGCCAAAGCGGGGGTTGTACGTTACCTGCCCCGGTTCTACGGTCCTGCTTCGTCAAGCTTGCAGGTTTCACGGATCGGCAGTCAAAGTTGTCTCTTGTTGTTCAGGGTTTGTAGGTGTTATGCCCTTTCTTCCTTGGGGTATAGGGATCAGGAGCCAGCTAGCACATGCTGATTCGGTATACGAAGTTTCCATTCTAGGCCTGAACAGCTCCCAGGTATCAGTATCGATTTGGGATAATTTTTAGTTTCGTCTGTTATTTAATATAGAGCTCGAATCGCAAATATTTTCGGGGACTGTTTTCATCGACACCTAGACTTTTGAAGGGGCCCCCACCCTGTTGTAGTGGTCTAATAGGAATATAATAGGGCTCTAAAATAATCCTTATAGTCACCATTACAGGGTGGGGGCAGCTTCTAACTTAAACTGCTCTCTCTTCGGGGTTCCTGCTGTGACCATAGAATCCTTCGGTCTCCAGTTGCCTAAATCCTGGGTTACACGGTTACACGGTATTCCTCGAAGCTCATACCCTTGGGGTTTAGAGGTTTAGGGTTTAGGGGTTTAGGGTTTAGGGTATGGGGGTTTCCGAGAAAAGTAGGGGTACCTTCTTTTGGGAGTCCTTACAACAAGGATCCTACAACATAGTATTCCTAGAGGCTCATACCCTCGGGGTTTAAGGGTTTAGGGTTTAGGGTATGGGAGTTTCCGAGAACTAGGGGGACCTTGGGGAGTCCTTATAACAAGGATCCTACTATTTAGGGTAGTATATTAGGGTCTCCTATGTTCGGAAACTCCCATATGGTTTTGTGAGCTACTATTCAGGTAACTGGGGCCCGAGGGAGCCACATGACCCAAAACCTTTCTGTTTTTCTAGTTCCGAGCCGAAGGAAGTCGACTTGCGCAAAGCTTTCTTTGCGCAAGGAAGGTTTAGGGGTTTAGGGTTCAGGGCGACGCCGCATCTGCCAAGAAAGAGGGTAGAGTGGCGGATTGAACGATTTGGGGTTGGGGGGTGAGATTGAGGAAAACTTCAGGGATCTCCGATGCCTCATGTTGAATGATCAGAAGGCATGCCTGGCAGAAGGACTGGGCGCTCCTGGGAACACGTTTGCGAAGACCATGGAAATGTTCAGTACGAGGTCTTCGCCAAAGGCAGATGCCAGGCATCTAAGGAAGCCATGATTCAGTGGAGAATATGGAGGAATGCAATGACCTACACAATTTCATCGAACATCCGGACTTTATCAAAAAAGGGTCGCAGCTGAAGTGCTCTAAGGACTTCTACATTAAGGCCTTCGGGCCCCAGGGGGCGACAAATTATGAACAGGCTTTCGGCCATTTTGAGCATCAGGTCTGTAGGTTTACAATTTGTGTCGGGTTTGTGCTTCGGGGGTCCTGGGGCTTCTATAGGGAGGATGATGCCCGCAGGTGGATGCAAGCTGCGCGCATCAGCTTTCTTTCTGCCAGGCTCGCTTGCGAGGGCAGTTGCTATAGCGGTACTTGTAGGCTCTTTCGTCTTTGCTGTTTAGGTTTTTAAGGCTGGGTTTAGGGTTTTTGAGGCTGGAGTTGTACCCAAGGAAGAGTTACAAGAGAGCAGTCGAATAAGGTTTTCGGGATTTTGGGCGTGCCGCACTGCCCGATGACAGGGGCTCTTTTGGCCTACGCATACTTAAGCCTTCAAGCTTGAAGAGTGAGATGTCGGAATGTATCCCATACAGCCACGCCCTTTTCATTTTCTGATACTTTCATGCTGAAGCCTCACTAGAAGAGCCCTTTCCCTTTGGAAGGGTCATGATTCAAATCCTAAAGTCATGGCCCCCAGAGCAGGGGTTTTATGAAAGGGTGTGTACAGTACTGAGGGGACAGCATATAGCAACCCTTGTCGTAACCTTTACGGGGTGACCCTGTGACACTGTAGTGGACTGATAGTAGCTCACCAGAAACGCAGAACCCCCGTCCCAAAGCACCCTCCAGAACATCCGCAATTCACACTTTTTGGCTCTATTTGGGAATTTCCGAAAACAGGGAACCCTAGTATAGTACCCTAAATAGTAGGATCCTTATTATAGGGACCCCCCAAATAAGGTACCCCTAATTTGCGGAAACTCCCATTTGGAGCAAATCAACCCGAGCAACCTTGAAGCCTTGACCCAATGCTTACTCTGTAAGACTTTCAGACATCGACCCTTCATGTACACCCACAAAAGTAGGATCATTAAGTTAATGTTCCCCTTCAAAACAAAGCAACTGTAAAGTCCTACCAAAGCCCTTTTGACAAACTCTGCCCCTAAACGGTTTAGGAAAATTTAGGGTTTAGGGCTAGACCCTAAACCCTCAACTCATACCCCGAATCCTACACCCCCAAACCCTAAAATCCCTAAACCCTCCTTTTGGGAGAGCCTTCTTTTCCCGACGGCCAGGTCGACTGGCAGGAGCCAGGCCGGTTCTACGATTAATAAAGGGTCCATGTACCCAAAATAGGGATCCTTTAGCGGGTTCCTTTCAGTGGCTTACTATAAAGGTACTATTAAAGGTTCTATAAGGGTTCTATATGGTTTAGGGCTTAAGGGGCCATGCAACCATATAGTATATGCTTGGGCCTTCAAGTAGTCCAAATATAGGTACATTGTGCCCAATAGCCACTAGGAGAACATTATACTTGTGGCACTGGTTGCATATTTTCGCCATGTTGGGACCTTGGGCCTTTATTGGGGTTCCTTATATGAATCCTACTATTTTGGGTTATCGGGCCAGGCTTTCTTAATCGGGTTCCGACATTTTTGGGCCTCTACAGTACGGGTTCCTTTTGCAGGGGTCTGTAAGGGTTGCCACGAGGGTTACTGTTAGAAGAGGGGTTGCATGTGCAAGCCTAAATCCACATAATTGCCAGTATTTGGGGCTCCTCATTATAGCTTTACAGCACTAATTACACCTATACCCCAGAACCATCGTTTCCTTATGCCTTGGGGTTCCTTCTATACCACGAAAACCTGCTTCTAAGTATTCCTGAGGGTTCTTTAGCATAGCTTCTGCCCCCAGACCCTATTCCATTTCTGAAAGCGCGTACATTAGGGCATTAGGGGCTTTCCAGTAACTTTTCCTTTTAAGTTGTGCCTCTAAGAGTTCCTTTAAGGGTATCTTTCAGGGCTCCTTTACACTGTCTTGAGGCGCATTCCTGTTAGGGGTGTAGGTTTTAGGGATTACAGGGGTTGATGAGTTTTAAAATTTAAAAGAAGGCTTTAGGTGCTGAAGCAGGCTTTAGGCGTTCAAGGTTCTGGAACTTCGGAATCCCTGATATGACCTAGGTTCCTGGGTATTACCCTTGTGCCCTTTCAGTTTTAGGATCCCCCTAATGTATTACTTTAAAGGCGCTACCGAGGGACCTTGCTACCGTCGATGTTCGTGTCTTCACTAGTGTGTGGGCTGTGGTCGTGTTGAGAGGGGTATCGTGGTGTCTTTGGAGCCCAGGAACCCAAGCCCCCCGCCATACGGTGGATGCCGTCCCAAACCCTTGAATCCTAACTCTGAAACTAAACCCTTGACTTCCAAATCCCTGCAGCCCAACCCTACACCTTGATCCTTACCTACAGGCACCATAGTACTTCCTTTTGGGATTACCTTGTAGGATTCTAAACATGAACCCAAAGCGGCAAGGGGCGCTCGAAACTCTGCTGGCAGAGCAAAGCCCGACTGCCCTGCTCCACACGGCCAGCAGCCAGTGTTCTGAAACGCCTAGCATTGAGGGTTTAGGGTCAGGGTCAGTGGGCCCTTTTGCCCTTTCTGTTGTCCCTTTTGTGTGGTCTTGGGTCCGCTCCTCATATAAAGTTTACCACTAAACCCTAAACCCTAAACCCTAACCCTAAACCCTAAACCCTAAACATAAACCCTAAACCCTAAACCCTAACCCTAACCCTAAACCCTAAACCCTAAACCCTAAACCCTAAACCCTAAACCCTAAACCCTACACATAAACTACCGAGGCGCCCCAAAAAGGGAGTCCTTGTTGTTCCTAGGTTTGCCGGGGGGATTCTCCGTGCGCGATCCGGGTTTTTGAGTTCAGGGCTTAGGGCTTTTGGTTCAGGGCTTTGGGTTCTGGTTCAGGGCTTTGGGTTCAGGGTTTTGGGTTCAGGGCTTTGGGTTTAGGGCTTCGGGTTCAAGGTTTTAGGTTCAGGGTTTTGGGTTCAGGGTTTTGGGTTCAGGATTTTGCGGCGCGTCTGGGGTTCAGGGTTGGAGGTTTTCGATTTTGGGAAGTTCTAGGGCAAGCTTTCAATTCAGAAGACTCTACAACAGCGCTGGAGGGTTGGCAGGCTGCGGGCCTCGGATAGGGTTTCGGGATTGGGGATGCGGCTATTGTTAAAGGTTTGAAGATCTTCGGGATAAGGGGCCTTGGGTTCAGGGTTCCTCCCTTGGGTTTTCGGGGTTAGGTCTTCATGGGTCTTAGGAGTTCGTAGCACGGCCAAATCGGCGGGGTGGTGAAGGTTTCGGGTTTACAGGGTTTAGAGGGTTTACTTAGTAGCTGAGTGGATACACTTTACTTTTTTTGGGATAATACGACCCACTATAAAACTGAAAGTGTGCATTTCTTGGGGGCTTATGAACTCAGTAACTAAGTTTAGGGTTTAGGGGTGGGGAAGGCCTGAGATTGCAAGAGTCTCCATTGTAGTTCCTTTTTTTGGTTTAGCCAAATATGATTGTTTCAATTCACGTTCTTGCCCATGTTCGGCTGTCTCTGAAATGGTGTCGATTTCGTGTATGGTGCGGAGATCATTCTTTCAGATGGCTTTCGCACAGCTTAAACCATGAACTCGAAGCTCCGAAAAGGCCCGCACTAAATGTTCATTCCATCCCCTGCACCCTAAACTCTCGATCTTAACCCTATGTAAACCTTAGACTCCAAGCCCTAAGGCCTTAAACCCAAGGCCAAAACCCGAAGCCGAAATAGGCAGAGCTAACTTCACGAGACTCCGCTGCCACTGAGAGGCCGGCCCTTTCGACGCCGAACCACGGGTCTTAGAGGTTCGCATGGACCTCTTGAGAGTTGTTTCAAGGGTTTTCTGAAAGGGTTTTCCGGACCCTTCAGGTTTCTATAGTCAAAGGGGAAAAGGAGGGACCCTGAATGGGGACCCCTACCCCATAATGGGGCTATATAATGGGTATATAATTGCTATATTAAGGGTATATACCTAGGGTCCTTATAAGGGTCCCTCCTTTCGCCTTTGATATAAGGCTTTAGGGCGTATTGGGTTTAGGACCGTACCTAGGGGTCTCGTATAGTTGAGGTTTCCTTAAGGATTTCTGTGGCTTTGAACAAGGCTTACCCTGAAGGCTCTTGTCACGGTTCCATACCGGAGGTTGCAGCGGGCTCCAAAGTAAAGTTGGAGTTTGGAAGAATAAGGCCTTTAGGGCTTTAGGGCTTATATGGATAAGTTTCGCAGTAGGGCTTATGGCTTATGCTTTGAGGGCATTTGGTTCATGCTTTTAGGGGATAGGGCCCACGGTTCAGGGTCTAAGCTGAGCGATGCAAGGCTTGAAGCTTAAAGGTGTCCGTTTTCAGGGCTTCACCGGGAGGTCAGGGCCCAAGCTGAAAGGTTTTCGGGGGCTTTAGGGTTTAGGGTTTAGGGTTTAGGGTTTAGGGGTTTAGGGTTTAGGGTTTAGGTTTAGGGAATTTGTAGGTTTTGTGGGTTCAAGGCTTTCAGGGCTCCATAATGTTAAGATTTATAGGGTCAAGGGTCCAGTTTTTTCTGTTGGGGGCTCTGACATGGGTGGTTATCATGGGCATCCTAGCCTAAAGAGAACCATGGCACCAAGTCCGACTGTAGCAACACAAGATGACCCAGGTTGATACCTCGCCCTTTACGGAGGGGTGGAGCAATCACTGCGGCTATGTTGGGGGTTCCTTGTTATGAGTGTAGTATGGTACAACACACCCTAAAGGCCGGTTCGAATCATTACCCAAAGGCCCCAAAGTAGTTCCTTTTGGGGGTTCATATTTAGAATTTTATAAGGTAACCCCAAAAAGGAACTACTTTGGGGCCTTAGGGTAGGCCCATTTTTTGTAGCTGGGCTGACACGGGAGCCCCACCGATTCGGAGTGCTCCTTGGTACTTGGAGCATGTATTTGTAGTCCGAAGCCTGGTTCCACCTACTTCTGCCATCATCACTCTCAAAGACACCTAAACCCTAAACCCTAAACCCTAAACCCTGACCCTAAACCCCAAACCCTATCCGCTCGACCCCAGACCCCCAAACCCTAAACCATGAACCCCAAAAGCCGCAAAACCCTATCAACCAAAGGATTCACTCGCAAATGCCTAATCCCCTCTCCCTGCCAGGCAGCCTTAAACGGCAAAGTTCCAGTTTATGTGGATGTCGCAGACCCCATGAGCTTCTTGGTTTAGGGTTCATGCAGGGTTTATGAGCTTCTTGGTGTAGGGTTTAGGGTTTATTAGCTTTTTATTCTGGTTTAGGGTTTAAGGTTTATGAGCTTCTCGGTCTAAGGTGAGCCGGTTTCTGGATTCGGGGCTGTGGATTTAAGGATGAGGATGTAGAGTTCAGGGTGTAGAGGTTATAAGGTTTGGCCTGGCTTTTGTGTCAGGGTGCTAGGGCAAAGGTGTAGATCTTCAAGTCAGTTGAATACTGGGTTTTAGTGGATGCTCTTCAGAGTCTTCCGATTCTACCACCCTTGAGATGGCTGGCTACCCAATAAACACAGACTCAGACAAATATGGACCTGCGGCTTACCCTGAACCACTTGATGACGGTACTTGAGTCATCGGGTCGGATGTCAGTGCGCCGCCCTTGCAATCGACAAAGCCGCAGCTAAAACCCTAAGTCCGCAATCCTTAACCCATAAAAACCTTAAGGCATAGAACCCTAAACCCTGCGCCGTAAAGCCGTAAATCCTTAGCCCTATACCTCAAACCCTAAGGCCGTGAATCCAACATCTACCAACCGCTTACATAAATAAAGCCCTAAACATTAAACCTTAAACCCTAAACCTTAAGCCCTAAACCCTAAACCCTAAGTGTAATACAAGGGAGCCCTAAACCGAGGCTACCTGGACAAAGCCATTGCAATGGACGCGGTGGCCAAGGAGGCCGGAAGAGCAGAGTCTGAAAGAGGTCTGGGAAGTAATATAGGGCCTAATAGAGTTCCCTTTAAAGGGATCCTTTAAGGGGTCTATAAGGGATCTAAATATTAGGGGCCTAAATGATTATTATACTATTTTGGGGGGTTCCTTATTATGCCTAGAATATAGTGGGCCCCAACACCCTATTCTAAGAATTATTAAGGCCCCTATATTGTTCTGCCCGTACTGTACCGTAATCGTTTCTGTATGACCGCAGTCTAACAATACCATAAAAAACCCTATCCCATGTTTTAAGGAGCTAGGATTACCTCCTTGCGAACCTGCGGTTCGGATTCGAAGGCCTGATTTTACGTTGCTTTTGGGCCGAAACACGGCTCGGGCTTGAAGTCGGGCTCTCTTGGCGACTTTGATCCTGAGCATAAGGTGCCGGGGTTGCCGGTTAGAACTTATGCGAATACGCAAACGGAAGGCTGGGCGATTTAAGGAATCCGTGTGCTTAGAGTCTCATCTCGCCCCCCCAAAGGCGGGAGGTGTTTTTTTTGTGTGTGTTTTTTTTTATAACGGGGGGGCACTGAACTCCGCCCCTCGACCCTAAACCCTACACCTCTGAATGATCCCCCAAAACCCCAACCCTAAGCCCTCAACCTCTACACCGCTGAATGATGGCAAAACCCCCAACCCTAAGCCCTAAACCTCTAAACCTCTACATGAGCCCAAAACCGCCAACATCCCGAATGCTGCTTTTGCCTTCAGCTTCCCACAGACTCCAATATCCCTTAATTAAGGAATATACCTTAACTTATAGTAGGATCCCTAATATGATTTAAGGAATATTCCTTAATTAAGGGATATTGGAGTCTCTGAATGCTGCTTTTCCCCTCAGCTTCGCCTAGGCGAACACCTCCGCGGTCGTCAGTGCCGGAGCATTCCCAGGTCTGGTGCCGGGGGTTCTCGAGGATTTTTGTAATAGGGTTGAGATTTTAGGGAACCGAGGTTTTAGATTTTGGGTTTAGGGTGCAGGTGGATTTTTGGTTCTAGGATTTAAGGCTGCTGTTTGGGGTTTCGGGTTCAGTTGCTCAAAGGAAACTTTTCTGAGGATTGGCTTGACTCGGGCTCCCTTCTTGTAGTCGGATCGTTTCGGACAGGATTTGGGATTCGGGGCTTACAGATAACGGTTAAAGTTTCGGGTTTGGGGGGTTGTGCATGCTACTGCACTGAGTTTCAGGCATTGCGCGGGACAGCCATCTTGGTAAGCAGAGAGAGCTTATTTGGACCCTAACCCAAAGGCTCCATGTACCCATATAGTAGGTACTTAGGCCTTAAAGTACCCTAAACCCTAAACGCTAAACCCTATATGGGTACATGGAGTAATTGGACCCCTCTCTGTAAGAGCCTCGAGATGAGCTGCCTCTTATGATCCCTTGGAAGGGAAGGTGGTCTAGACTTCTACACATCAGGTGTCGACATAAAGCTACAGAGCCTCATGAACCCTAAACCCTATAGAACCTGTTATAATTATGTATTTTGGAGACGCTTAAGTAAAGAATGCAGTTTCTTCAGACAAGGATCAGGTATCGCTCGCTTCATATCTTACAGGGTATCAATAACGAAGTGGGCTTGGAGCCTCTGGGTACGTGAGGCTTCTCCAACATCCTTGCCATGGAGTGCGTCGCGCAGCTGCGATCAGGCTCTGCGTAGCCTGCTATGTCGAAGTTGTTGTCGCTTAAGGGTGTCCTTCAAAGGGCCTAAATTGTAGTATCCTTAAGGGAGGGGGGTCCAAGGGGGGTATATAGCCTAGTGATCCCTAATTCTCCCTAGTACTCCCTAAGGTTCCCTTACAGTTCCCTAAGGATTCCTTATACCCTCCCCCCTTGAACCACCCTCCCTTAAGGATCCTATAACTAAAGGTGTAGAGTTGCAGGCTTTGGGGCTTTATAAGGTTGAAGGTTTAGCAACAGGGCTTATAGGGTCCAGGTGTTAGCAGCTTGAGGTTTTGGGGTGAGGGGTCATGGGTTCGTGGATAAGCGGGGCAAGCCCCGTTCCGATTTGATTGAGGACTGTTCCCTAATTTGTGGTAGGGTCTTTACTCGAGGACCCTAGTATTTGCGGCTACCTGTTGCGGGTTTGAGTCCAGTCTTCGCTGGTTTTTTGTGTCTCACCTGAGACGTTTGCTGGGATACTTGTTGGAGCATGAGTTGCAAGTTTGAAATTGCAGAGGTGGTGGCTAGAAATAGTCTTCAGAGCGGTGCTCGCTGTTCGAAAGCCGGCTTGCCGACTTTATCGTGATGCCGCACTGTTGCACAGTGTTTTGTACCCTAAACCCCAAACCCTAAACCCTAATCACGGCGCAAAGAATTTTAGTGCTGGCTCACGATCCAATAAAACCCAAGACCAGCTCGGAAGCCAAAGCTCCAAGTGGTCATTTTTCGTGGTTGTTGTGGTGCCCAAGCCCTCCCTAGTAGTATGCTTATATATTATGCTTATAGCAACCGTTATAACCATAGCAATACTGTACAAAAGCTAAGGATAAGGAGTTGTTGGATCCTTCGGGTAAATGCTTCACCCGCCAGAACATAACATGCCATTAAGCCGTCGAGGCGACCCAGCGTGCGAATTGCGCGCCTCGGCGGGTTTTCTGTCGTCTTGGTAACCCTATATACTCCATGTACCCACATAGTATATGCGTAGGCTTTAAAGTACCTATTTAGGGACCCCTTTAAGGCTTAAGTATCTACTTTAAGGGTACATGGAGCTTTTGGGTAAGGTGTATAGGCTTTGTAGGATCGACTTAGGGGATGAGCCCACAATCCGGATTCATTGTCTTACGCCCGCTTACTTAATGGGTCATTTGTCAGTGGGAGTTTGCCCATATTTCTTGGTTTGGCGCAGAACCCATAGGGCTGTGCCCTCAGTCTTTGCCTTTTGAAACTTAAGGTATACGTAGTTGTCAATGTTTTCCTCGGGGTTCGTCATTCAAAGTCTACAACAGATGAGCCGAAAACTGATCATTTCAGTATACGTATTGGCATCATTGATATTGTTGTTTTCGCTGGTATTATTGTTGCTGTTGCTGTTATTGTTCTTATTCGTATTGCCAACACACCCCGACGAAGGAACCGAGACCCACTTCTCCCTGCACCACACGCGGCGACACGTTACATTCGCTACATTCCGAATCCTAATCCTGAGTATTTATATATCGTTAAATGTACAATTTCTATAGTAGTAACTGCTAGTATGAATCGATAACGTATCTCCCATAACAATACCTAGGAACCCTGACTGGTCGCAAGAACCCGGGGGAGTTAGGGAGTGCATGCGCGAAAGACAGAATTACGTCGAAAATCACTTTGCAGTGTCAGGACAGGTGTTGGTGTCGAGTTTCACGTGACCTCCGTTGCTATGCTTCCTTTCTGACAGTTTTCAGTTTAGGCATTCCTGAGGGTGCTGCTTTGGGGGCCAGTTTAGGGTGGTGGTCGGAATGTTGGAGTCGATGCTTAAGGCCACATAGTAGTTTCTTTTTGTGGTTCATATTTAGAATCTTATAAGGTACAAGAAGGAACTACTTTGGGGCCTATATGGGAGTTTCCGAAAATAGGGGACCCTAATATGGTCCCCTAAATAGTAGGATCCTTAATATAAGGACCCCCTAATAAGGTACCCCTAATTTTCGGAAACTCCCATATGGGTAGTTTGCATTGCTTTGGGCTTATCAGTGTCGACCCCGAGTCTTACGACCCCGGGTCGAAGGTATGGGGATTTACCTAGAGGCTCATACCCTACCCTTTTAGGATACCTAGGGTTTAGGGTTTAGGGACCTAGTTTTATGGTTAGGATCTGCTATCTTAAGAAGTAGGCACCCTAAGAAAGGGGTAGGGTATGAGCCTCTAGGGAGGGTTTCACAACGGCTCTTGAGGGATTGTTGAATCCGAAGGGTACAAGTAGCCACAAGGCAGGTGCTTGGGCATCAGGTAGTACTCCCTGCGTAGACCTACACGATAAGCTTTCCGGTCTAATTGGGTCCTCGGGTTATCCAATATTATCAGCGGCAGCATTCTCTTAATGCTTTTTCTGCGCGTCTTTGGAAGTAGGACCCTTCGGCCAAGGAAAGCTTCTTGAAGGGTTCCGTAAGACTTGGAAAGAAGACAGGGGCCCAAGGGTAGACACCACCTAAACCCTAAACCCTAAACCCTAAACTGGAGACTCCGACAAAAGGGACTCGAACTTCTTGAGAAACTCCCAGTAGTGCCTTGGGTGGTTCGGAAGGAGTTGCACCAATCCTCCGAATTTGCAAGCACCGAAAGATGTGCGGTTAAGGTTTAATTATGAGCTTTAAGGTCTCGATCGTTTGAGACTCTGGAGAGGCGACATGAACTTCGCCTATTTCACAGCTGGCCTTGGTGGCAGCGGCGCGGTAAATTTGCTGCTCCTTGGCGCTCTTTCTCTCGAAGCCCTAAACCCGAGGCCCCAAAACTAAGCCCTAAACCCTGAAGAAAAGCCTTAAACCCTGAAGAAAAGCCCTAAACCTTGAAGAATAGCCCTAAACCCTGAAGAAAAGCCCTAAACCCTGAAGAAAAGCTTTAAACCCTGAAGAAAAGCCCTACACACCCCAAAAATGAGCCTTGATCCAAAGGATCACAAACCTCGGCTTCGGTGATCCCGTGCCCGTCTTCCGCGGGGGCGCCTATGCGCCGCAACGGGTGGCTGGGTCAGAGCCGAGGCACCGGGGTGTAGGGTTTATGTCCGCTTTTTGTTTTGGCTGGGGGTTTGGGGTTTAGGGCTATTGATGATCGGATGTTTTTTGGTTTTAGGGTTTAGGGTTTAGAGCTTTTGATTTTTGTTGGGGGGCATTCGGGTTTGCGGCCTAGCGGCCTGCGAAGAAACGGGTTTTCAGCAACTGCATCAGACAGGCTTTCCCAACCGATACTCATGACTCCAAACATCGGAACCGTACTTCGTACATACAAGGTACTTGGCACCCTTTCCGGGAACCATCGTATCTTTCAAGGCTTTTAGGTGGGTCAGTACATGATCATTCAATTGCTGCTTCCTTTAAACCCCACCCCCCAAGCTCCCAAAACGAGACTTGGCAGTGGACCTAAGGGTCCATGTACCTATATAGTCCCTATATAGGTACATTATACATACCATTACATTAGGCCAGAAGTAATATGCTGTTTGGGTACATGGACCCTTGGGGTAGCAAACAGCAAGGGCTTTTAGCTTCCCAGAGTCCAGACCTGGATCCGCGAGGCGTGTGGAGTTCTTCCTGGATGCGACTTGGAGTGCATGGCCAAAGTCTAAGTCAGCGCACAACACAGCCATGCACCTACGTTTGGAACGTGTGGGATAGTATGAGACTTATTCCAAATATATGTATACATATTCGAATCAGAATGCATGCGTATATAATCCAAATTCAACTCGTACATGTTCCAGGCATGCTTTTGTGCATGTGCCCTTTGTGGGAACTTTGCTGAAGCTCCCTCCCCGCAGGAAGGAATCCACGCGATACAACAACTTTGAGGACCGCTCACGCCCGAAACTACCCTACGGTGGATGATACAAATCCTACATTACCTGAAGGACCCTAGACTATGGGAATTATGGTATATTCCTTATTATGGGTAATGCAGGACATATCATCAACCGTATGAAACCTGAAAGAACCCAACTACAGTAAACCCCATAAAGTTAAAACCGGATTAAGGCCAACTAGTGCTGGAATTCCCTACACATTTCTCTTAAGGATTGAGGCTATTGGGTTTCCAACTTTTCGGCTTCTACTGTATACGGCAAACCCCCTGAGGAATCAGACCCTGCTTTTGAATTCGTGGGCGAGCGGGACGTCTGGTCGTGGCCTTTCCCTGAGGCGCCGGGCCATGCGGCTTTTTACAGGCTTTGACTTTGGCTTGATTCCTAAACGCTACCTCAACCCCAAATTACCTACGTTTTTTAGGACTTATATAAAGAAATGGTACTAGGAAACCTTAAAAACACAGGTAATTGGGGGGTCCAGGTAAACCCATGGACCCTAATCCCCTGAATGGTTTGGGGGTCCAGGGGTTCGGGGTTTGGGGGGGTTAAGGTTAAAGGTTCTGGGTTTAGGAGTTCTTTCGGGGGTTGAGTTGAAGGAAATAAAGTAGAGGATGTCATATTTTCTCCTGATGGGCTTAATTATAGGACTTACGGATGATGATATAAACCCTGCGTTACCGTAGGGACCCTAAACTATGGGAATAATGGTATATTCCTCATTATGGGTAATGCAGGATTTATATCATCAACAGTAGTAGGCCAGAAGAAGCACCTTTTCAGAACTGACACAGCTACCAGCAGTGAAGAGCCCCACCCCTCAAACCGATGCAGATGTCGCATGGGAGTAGAGAGTTCCCTAAACCCTAAACCCTAAATCCCTAAACCCTAAACCCTGTTCCCTAAACTTACCCTTGGTTAGTAGTAGCGAATGGAGGAATGGGATTCCCTACTAACCAAAGGTAAGTAAACCCCAAACCCTGAACCGTGCTAAAACGACGGAAACCTCAGGCCACATTTTGGAGTTGCTGGTAATCGTGCGCCAGGAGGCTCCCAAACTCCAAAACCCTAAGCCTTTTAGTATTTCTGGTTTAGTCGCGTTTAGGGTTTAGACTATACTATACCCTTAAAAAATCCAAAGAACACAAAAGGTTTAGGGTTTAGACTAAGCCCCATTTTGAAAGAGCTTCCGAAGAACTCACAAGGCCGGCACAGTTCCGCGGCTTGTTGGCATCACAGGCCCGGCTTTCCGTCTGGATGCCCATACATGTGTGCACTCCTCTATCGCTTGTATCAAAGGGGAAAGGAGGGACCCTTAATGGGGACCCCTACCCTATCATGGGCTATATAATGGGTATATAATAGCTGTATTAAGGGTATATACCTAGGGGTCCTTGTTAAGGGTCCCTCCTTTTCCTTATCGCGCGTACGATGGGGGGGCCTTGAAGGGTCCGATAAGGATCACTTCAAGGTTCCTTGAATGGGGGCCCCCTCAAAAAAGGACCTAAATATGCATTATGGGCTTAAGACCCATCGACCATCCTCGTGACGGGTGTTGCGACCGAGTTCCATGAAGGTAGTACATATGAACTATGAACCTTCCTGTACAGTAGAAGCCAGAAAGTTGGAATATCATTATCGTAACCCCTTTAAGGTAAATTATAGGGGATCCTACCATTAATCCATATTCCAACTTTTTGGAGTTCCCTGTACAGAGGTGGGATGTTACAGGAGGTTTCGGGCTTAGGTGCTTCGGGTCTGGGATTCTCAAAGGGGAAAAGCAGGGACCCTTAGTAAGGACCCCTAGGTACAGACCCTTAATATAGCAACAACATACCCATGATATAGCCCATTATAGGGTAGGGGTCCCCATTAAGGGTCCCTCCTTTTCCCCTTTGAGATTCAGATCCTGAGTTCTTTAACTGACAGCTAACAGTTTAGGGGTTGTGGGTTTAGTGGCCTTGTTTCAGGTTGAAGATCTTGTCCCACAAGGTCCTATGTACCGATATAGTAGAATGTAGGGTTTCCATAGTAGGAATTGCTATTATGACTTAGGGAAGTATGCCCCATCACAGTACATAGGACTCGTTGGAGGTGGCTCAGGACTTCCATATTCCTCTGCGATGCCGTGGAGGATTCATTTTCTGGCTCGGAGATGCCGAACCCCTAAACAAGCCCCGAACCCCAAATCATAGCAGGCCAAAAGGGGTTTTTAGCCTATGGGGGTTTAGTAGGGATTAGGGTTCCCATAATACGGTTTATATTAAAGAATCCCTACCCCAAGAATCTTAAACCCCCTTATGCCTCCCATCACCAAAATCCCCAAACCCCAAACCCTCAAACCCAGAACCCCAACCTCGAAAATCTAGAATCGACTTCTGAAGTCTCGCGCAGCCGCAGTAGTGCGATGCTCCAGGTGACCCTAAACCCAGATTAGAACGAGGCTGTGCTAGACCCACTGTAAGGCGAAGCGGCAGCAATTAGTATAGGTTACATGGATTTTGGTTGAGGCTTTAGATTCTCTGAGGCTCTTCAGGCTTGCATAAGGATACCCTGAGCGCTCAGAAAGGCAACTCCTCAACCGGAATGGGCACAGCACCGGGCATTTGGACGCTTGATGATGGGTTCAGCGCTTTTGACCAGCATTGTTTCCCGGTTGTGCTGCGTTCTGGTCCAACCTTTGTTCCAGAACTTGTGCCAAGATCTTTAATTAGGGTGCGGGGATTCCGGACTTCCAGGATGCTGGGTTTAGGCTGGCGTCAGGTTTTGTACTTTCGGTTTCAGATCTTTTCTTCGCCGAGCATAATGCCTCCCAGAGGTATAGGCGCGGTGCCCATGTTCATCCTTTGAAATTGTACCGGCTTGAACCAAACCTCGAACCCGTCGGCCGTGAGCGCTACGTAGAAGGTACCAAATTCCTGTCCAAAGCCTCGAAACCCTAGACGAACCTTAGATCTGGCTGCCGCCTTGGCTCTTGGCTGTCCGAAGTACCTATATGCACATTTAGGTTTATGTTAGTGCAACTTTCATAAACTGCCCGTGAATGCTTCGGATATGGGGGCTTGTAACACTAAACCCGAAACCCTAAACTTCCTAAGCCCCACCCTAGAACCCGAACTCTCATTGCAGAACCCCTAATGGGGGTTCTCATTTTAACTAGGGCACCCCTTCAAGAAATCTTACAGTTACCCTTGCAGGAAACCTTAGCGGAACTCTGATCGTAACCCTATACTACCCCTCATAGGTATTCCTTAAGGGTTGCTTTAGGTTCCTATCAGATTTCCTTTGTAGGTATCCCCTAAGATGACAAGGAACACCATTCTGGTGGGACTGGTCGCTCTGGTGCCCCGGGACCTCTGGCAGGAGAGGTGGCCTCACGAGCAACTGAGTTTAGGGCTTTTGGCCCGAGGCTTATGGGTTTTTACGGTGCAAGTTGTTAAGGCCTTATAGGTTTAGGGTTCAGGGCTTGTGGAGAGCTGGGTTATGATTGTAAAATGGAGGTCAGGTTTAGGGCTTGTAGAGCTTAGGGCCTTGCGGTTAGGGTTCAGGGTTTCGGGGCATGGGGTTTCCAGGAATATTCTGGGTCAATGCTGGGGGTCCTTTTGGCTTTTGATGATTTGAAGTTCCTGACTTTGTTGCAAGGGGGCGTCCGACGAGTATCCTTGCAATCCTTCCTTCCTGTATCCTATCATATACCCTAGATCTCATTTCGATTGTTATTCTCCACGTGACCACAGGTACTTAATGGTGGACAATGTGGACACCTAGAGTCATGTCCAAACCCTGAAACTTCCACACCCTGAACCTGGACCATAGGGATATAAGTATGCTGTAATGCACCCCCGAACCCTATCTAGGTGGCAATTTGGGCAACTTGTTAATTCCCCTCTATGGTTTCTACAGAGGTACCTATTCATAAATACTTTGCCGAACCCCAGAACTACAACCCAGCTATAGTCTGCTTATGAAGGCCCGTGTTTCAACTACCATACCCCAATACCCCCTATAAGGACCATAAAGGCTCCATTAAAGGGCCCTTGGGGGGTCCTGGTAGCCCCCTATTCTGTCTGGCTCTTAGTAGGGAATGGAAGAATGGATTGGAGGAGTGGATTCTGGAGACAATTTAGGGGATTATATAGGGGCTACTATAGGGATCCATTCCCCCATTCCCTACTAAGCACCAGACAATATTTGACAGGTGGTTCTCCGAGGGGCTGGCTTGGTTCTCGCTGCCAATGGTGTGGTTCACAGACCAGCGGCACGACTGAAAGTGCTGAATGCAGGGGCCTTTATAATTAGAATAGATTTCCTTGAAAGGGTTCCTAAAAAGAGTGCCTCCAAGAGTTTCTATAAGGGCGCAGCATAGGGGCCTTAATAATTAGAATAGGGTTGTGGGGGATATTATGCTATAATTATAGCAAGGAGCCCCCAAACTAGTGTAGACAATTATTAAGGCACCTATAGTAGGATTGTAGTATAGGGCTGCCATACAGTTAATTAAAGTGAGCCCCCAAAAAATGGAACATAGATTTAGGATGATCCATGCTGGGATTCCCTATGCGTGATTCTAAGGGCATGAGGATAATGAATGATGTTCCAGCTTTCTGGCTTCTACTGTATCGGGAAAGCATGTCCTGTACTTACCAAGGCTCCTTAACGAGAGCCCGGGATGCGATTCCTAGCACGCGGGGTCGGGTCAGGTCAACCTCACAATCCATGCAGGGGAAACGGGACTTTCGGCCCGAATCGTACATAGGGTTTCGCTACCCAGAGGCCCCAAAGTAGTTCCTTTTTGGGGCTCGTATATAGAATCCTATAAGGCAACCCCAAAATGGAACTACTGTGGGGCCTTAGGGTATAGCCGAAAAGCACTACCGCTGTTAAGCTCCACTTTCTGGATAGCTTCCTAAAAATAGGTAGGTGTTTTGTGCCACAGGCCAGGGTTGAGGCGCAATCCCTAATCCTGCCCTAAACCGTAGATTCTAAACTTGAGCGGCAGTTTTGGAGATTCGACCACTCGCAAGAATTTCATTCTTCCTTCGATTCGACATCCCTCATGGATGCAATTGTTTGTTCGAGGTTTGCATGGGGTTTAGGGTCGACAGGAGTTCTTTTAGATCTATTTGGTGTAACATGGAGCCCCAATCCCCCCTTCCGCCCCCCCCCCCCCCCACCCAGAACTGTACTCCTCTGATCAGGTTTGAATTCCAGGTTTCAGCTGCTGTAAGTTAGGCGTTCGGAGGTTCAGCTGTTGAGGGTGTTGACTGGGTTTGCGTTGAGCGTTCCGGACTTAATGGCTTAGGCTTAAATTTATTGTGAAGCCATTTTTTGACAGCTCCCAACTATTATACACCCTATACTATTAAGGACCATAAGGGCTTCAATAAACGATACCTGGAGGGTCCTGGCATTCCAAGCCAAGGTTCGTGAAGGAAACGCACGCCATGCGTGTTGAGGCCGGGTCCGCAGAAAACATTCCGAACTACAGGGCTTGCTCCAGGGACCTTGATTTATTACCTAGCATCATTTTGGAGGTTCCTTATGATAGTTATAGCATGATGTGCCCCAGACCCTATTCTAATCATTCAGGCCTTTGTATTATTGAGAATCAGAAGTAAGTCCCTTGGCTGCGAAGCCCTCAAATATGCTTGAGTTTGGAAGACTCGCGTTGTAGGCAAAACAGTATATGTTCGGGAGTATGGATACAGTTAGCAAGTACTTGGACACTTAGGGTGTGCAGTCGGAAGTGACCTCATCTCGCCACATGCTTGTCCGTCCAGGCTTCTGGAGATGGGGTAAGTGTTCATGTATAATTAAGATGCAGTGGTTCGAGAAGAAGCATAAGGCCAAAGCCGAAGGCAGCATTGGGTTTGCCTTGTGGGCTTCACTGGTATCGTACGAGGTTGGTCACACGGGCGTGAAATAACTGCAAAACTCTCCGGACTTGTAGCGTCAACGCGGACCTCTAATGTGGTGTTCAGGATTTACGATCGGAGTTGAGGGTTTCAGAAATTTTCAATACGAGCATTGAGCTTTGGGCTTGATGACTTGCAGGGTTCCATCCTGTCCACAATTCTGAGTTGCCAAGCCGCAAACGAAAAAAACGAATCTCGATCGAGACGTTTGCACAACCAGTAAGCGCAGCGATGAAGACTATACTTAGGGGTACCTAGAAATATTTTGAAGTTTTTGGTTATTATAATCCCTAAGAAACGGCTAAAATTGTATTTTTTGCTACGGTTCTAAGTTCAGTCTAGTCTACACCAGAGCGCTTAGGCAAGGCTGCAACACCACACTACTCGCTACATGCAAGAGCCTTCCTTGAAGCTGACACTTTGGTAATCCGCATAGCTGTCACAACCCACGGGCTTGCGCTTTAAACGGTTGAACCTACAATAAAGTGGTCCCTGCTGCTGAAGCTCAAATACAACCCAGAACATGCACCTTAAGGCCACAAACCCTCAAGCCCATTAGACGCTGCGCATCTGAGCCCCGCAGCCCCCATAACCTACAGCCCAAAGCTAGGGGTTTAGAATTCTGGATTCCGGTAAACCGCAGACGCACGCGAAGTCCTCCCCAGTTCTGTGCAGGTCACCACCTCAGACGGACGCCGCTGCGTGGCGGTGCAGACACACGCGCTTCGGTGTTGGAAAGAGAGACTACAGGGTTTCCAATTTGTCTCCATTGTAGTTCCTTTTTTTGGTTATAACCAAAATCTCTATTGTAGGATCCTAGCCATAAAGCTGGTTAACCAAAAAGGAACTACAATGGATACTTTAGGGTTTTGGCTTTAGGGTTTAGGGTTTAGGGGTTTAGGGGTTTAGGGTTTAGGGGTTTAGGGGTTTAGGGTTTAGGGGTTTAGGGGTTTAGGGGTTTAGGGGTTTAGGGTTTAGGGGTTTAGGGGTTTAGGGGTTTAGGGTTTAGGGTTTAGGGTTTAGGGTTTAGGTTTGGGTGAGGGATTGGGAGGTTACTGGTAGGGGCCAGCCTGGCCCCAGGATTCTACATGTCTGTGTTTATTAACAGGGTGTTGTGAAGAGTTTAGGGTTTAGGGTTTAGGGTTTAGGGGGCCTTTAGAGCTAAACCCTCCAGCTGCGAGGGCGGTTTATGTGACATCGCAGATAAAAACCTCAAAGTACTGTAGCCTAGTGAGCCTACTGCTTTTGAGGGGTTCCTACAGACTTTGCTGTGACTAGTCACCTCGGTAGGACCCCACGAAACCGCAAGTTCCCAAGTACCGTGATACTGAACACAGTCAGGCTCCTATTCATCAGGAGTTGCTCAATGGCTTGTGTAAGTCAATCTGCGATAGACGTATGCACAGACTTCGGACCTGTTGGGAAAGAGTACGGTTGATGATATAAAACCTGCATTACCCATAATAAGGGATATACCATAACTCCCATAGTTTATAAGGGTCCTGAAGGTAATGCAGGATTTATTTCATCCACCGTAGGTCAGAGTAGACACTGTACCCGAAGTCTGACTGGCTTTGGCCATGGGCCAAGGAGAGCTTTCGGCGCTGCGTTGCGCAACTCATCCGAACATGTAGGGCTCCGTTTTGGGGTTGGATTGTTCAGCGAGGAGTTCAGATGGTGTGTTTAAAGAGATGTCTAAGTGTTGTTCCGTTTTGTTCCAGGGCCTTCCAGGGTTCCGGTTGAGCGTGTTTGTTTTGAGTTTTTGTTTGTCGCGGTTTAGGGTTGCAGGGAGCTCACGGGGTTAAAGTCGGCCCTAGACGGTAGGGTTTATTGCCCACAGTTTCGGGTCTTATCCATACACACACACAATCTATCTATCTATCTATCGATCTATCTACCTATATATATATATATGTGTATAGGGCGGTAAGATGTAAGTTTAAGGGTTCATTAGTCATCAGGCTAAGGGTTGGTCATTGGACTTAGGATTAATTACGGTGTTGGGCTTTACTGTCCAAGCGTTCCGGCTTTAGGGCTGTTCCGGGCTGGCCACGCACAGAGTCGGAAGCGCCTAGAACCGAAATCACTTGGGTCTCGCACGCGAGGCTCTACAAGATTCAGGATCTTGCTTGATGTCTGCTGACGGGTGAGCACAGAGGATTTCGATGGCGTGCATAGATCCATGCCTAGACTCCGCAACGTAGTTGTTTCTATAGGTTTGTTTCTCAATGGCTGTACCAGAAACAGTTTTACAAAGAAGCCCTAAACTCTAAACCCCAAGCACAAAGCCCAAACGCTAAACTTACACCTTAAATCTTGAATCCTATAAATAATTGGTGAGCCGTAGCCATAGAGCAAGAGGTCGCAATACAGCCCGCACCTGCTCGGAGGATCATGGACCCCCTAATGAAACAATGTAGTTTACATTATAGTAGGATCCCTATTGATTTAAGGAATATTCCTTCATTAAGGGATATTAGTGTCTCTGGGCACCCTAGACCCTATAGATCCCTTGAAGGAACCCTTTAAGGATTGCTTGAAGGAGATCTTGAAGGATATCGGAGTTTCTGGGGCAAGCCCCATGAGCCTCTAAGTAAGACCCCCAGCTCGGAGCCGTCAGAGCCCTATTCCCTAATCACCAGCTTGGCGGTCAAGGGCCGGCCTTAGTACGGTAGGGGTTTAGGTTCTAGGGTGAGATCATCAAACTTGATACAATATAGCTGTACTGTGATGTGGTACCATGTAGTGAGGTATAACAAATAAACAGTAACAGAAATATATCATCATACGGTTGATGATATAAATCCTGCATTACTCAGAATAAAAGGAATATACCATAATTCGCATAGTCTAGGGCCAGTATGGTAATGCAGGATTTATATCATCCACCGTATGTTAGCACAATAACACTAGATAGTACAGAATCATATAAGTTACTTTAAACCCTTATAAACCGTGGTTTCATAGAATACACGAATGTCGTGGTGCCGTTCGCGGCCGGGCTGTCCTTCTTGTCGTAGTTGGATTCTGTCACAGCATTTAATGAGATTCCCACACTTCGAACCCCAAACTCCTAAGCACTGAACCCTATCCCGGACGCCCTAAACAAAAGGCCGCTTCTAGCTTAAATCCTATAGATACCAACTGCTCACTCAGCCCCAATCCCCAAGCAGCAAACCCCGCTATGGGATTGCAGGCAGTCCTCGGCGGAATTTGTCCTTCACTTGCTGGAACGAGCCTCGGCTGGAATTTTGGGGGTTTGCGGTTTAGGGTGTTCGCAATCACAACCCCTCGACCCAACGTCTGCGGGCTCGAATCCCTCCCCCGTCATCCCTCCCCGCCGCCCTCCCAATCGCGGTTCCCATGTTTGCAAACCAAGTTGTATACCGAACCCTCACAGCGAGCCTCACACCCCAAGACCCTCATGGAACACCCTCTTCAACCCTTCCAGATGCCCCGCAAAGTCTCTATACACACATATAGACGTGCATATTTAATAATAATAATAAGAAGAAGAATAACGATAATAATGAGGCGGTTGAAGAGAACCGAACAGACTCCGTTCAAGCCTATACAGACATCTGATCAAACGCCTGCAAATTTCGCAACGACCCTGAAGCCGAAACAATGAATGTTCTTGGGCTTAGGGCTTTAGGGGTTTGGGGTTTAGGGCTTTAAGGGTTTAGGGTTTAGGGCTTTAAGGGTTTAGGGCTTTAGGGTTTGGGTGTTTTTGTTCTGCAGGATCCTAACATATCCGGACCCTCGGTGCGATTACCAAACTGCAAAACGGGAACTTCTGTTGAGACGTTTCTATAGGGGCTTGGATACCCGATTCCTCGGGCTAGGGCCTTTGTTTTACTCAGTATCTGAGGAACTTTGAGTTTATAATCCTACCCAAATTTAAATTGAAACGGTTAACCTCTTGTAAAGCCCCAAACCCTAAAATCTCAACTCTAAAACCCGAAAACCTAAACCCTAAACCCTAAATTCCCAAATATCCCTAAAGCCTAAGTTTAGCTAGGCGTCTAAAGTTAGAAGTATGGGCCCCTAATATGGACCCGTCGGAGTTCTAGGGACCCTTAAGAGTCTATATAGGGTATATAGTGGGTATTCGTGGATCCCAAGGTTAAGGGCGGGTTTAGGGTTTAGGGTTTTGGGTTTAGGGTTAAGGGTTTAGGGTTTAGGATTCAGGGTTTAAAGTTTAGGGGCTTGCAGGACAGGCTTCCACCAGCAGCTCGGGCCTGTCCTGGCGACCTGGTGTTCCCCCAGCAGCAGAATGATCGGATTTTGGACATCCAATGGGGTTGAGGGTTTTATGGGTTTTTAGGGTTTTTTGGAGTTTAGGGTTTAGACTAAACCCTAAACCCTAAACCCTAAACCGATATCACTAAACCGTTTAGTGATATCGGATTTTAGAAGTCCAGGGTGTTGGTAGTTTCCGGGCTTCAAGGGTTTCAGGATGTTGTGGGTTATCGGGCCATGATTCTTGAGGGCTTTAGGATTTTTCTGGTTTAGGATTCTACTGTTTTTTGGGTTTGTTAAGGGGTTAGGATTACGGGTTTAGGTTTTGGGGTCTGGTGGCTTGACAAGGACTCCAGGGTTTCAGGGCTCTGTGTAGGTGGGTTTCTTTGTAGTTTTCTCTCTTGAGGGTTTCTTATTTGGGAGCCTGCAAGAACTTTATGTTGAGGTTCACGGGGGTAGGGTTGTAAGTCTCCTTTAATCAGGGTTAGGGGGTTTAGGATGGGGGGGTTTTAGGGTTTTGCAGTTTGTGTGTGGCGGTTGTTTGGTTGAAGGTTCAATGCAAGTAAAGCAGCCCCGTCTGGGATCTGGCTTCAGGAATTACGGTCTGGGCCGTACCTAGACCTCCAAAAGCAGGTAAAATAATGGCCCAAATCCTATAACAGGATATTATTCCACATACTCTTGGGGTCCAGGTAGGGCATTTGCCGTGCATCGGACGTGTTTCAATAGGTGATTGTTTGGCTTCGGGCTTTCATGAGGACGAGCTTGGCCGCCACGCATATACATATATGTATGTGTATATATATATATATATATATGTATACACACACAGGTTTTAGGCTTAGCGGTTTAGGGCATTGGGGTGTAGGGTTACATTGTTTAGGGGTATACAGTGATGGAGCAACTCTGGCTAACTCAGAGGGTCCTGAGGACCTATATCGTAGGATGTAGGGTTTCTATAGTAGGAATTGCTGCTATGATCATAGCAATACCCAGGGGCTCCCAGGACCCTTTGGGAAAGGAATGGCTCCTCATGGTTTCTCAGCATATCCCGACAAAATATTAGGGGTCTGTCAAGATTCTGCTGAAGCAGTGTTGATGATATAAATCCTGCATTACCTTAAGGACCCTTAACTATGGGAACGATGGTACATTCTTATTATTGGTAATGCAGGATTTATACCATTAGCCGAAGTAATAGATGTTGCAGAGCCTAGGTTTTTCTGCCGGAGCAGCTGGCCGAGGACGAGGCTGCAATCCCATTCGCGAGCTTCTGCACGTGTCGCATGTTCCTTTGGGAAGACTTTAGGGTTTAGGGTTTAGGGTTTAAGGGGTTTAGGGTTTATAGGGCTTGCCTGCAGTTTTGAAGCAAAGCTCGCCACGACGTCTGAGACATTCGACACTGAAGCTTCTGTTCTATAACCCTCACACCCCATGCAAATCTCAGCTTCGTCCCGGAAGGCTACGCGCTCCGACCTGTTTCAGAGGCCTTGGCCTCTGCTTGAGTGTCCCTTTTCCACTGGTCCTGTAAGCACTGAAACCTTGTAGGATTTTTTCTGTGAGTTTGGAGTTGCTGTAGGGCTACTTCATCACCTAGTAATTACTCACTGACGAAAATTCTCTTCCTTACAACCCTGAGGCCAAGAATCTAATGGCTTGGCATTTAGACCCACAGAATGATAAACCCGACGCTAGACCCAAAGCCCCCAAACTCTCAAACCCCAAACAGTCCCTAAGGCTCCATGCACCCATATAGTATATACTTAGGCGTTTACGTACCTATATAGGTAGGCGTTTAAGGCCCAAGTATATACTACATGGGTTCATGGAGCCTTCGGGAATGACCTGTAAGCCGGCAAAGCTTTTAGCCTCACCTTCAGCTGAAGTACTTGTTCAACAAGTTTTGGGGGGACAAAACCTAATGCTATAGACTATTTTTGTAGTTGCAAGTAACTCGAAACCTTTGCGAATCGCTGATACATTCTCTAACAAAACAAATATATCAAAGCTTTAACTTAAACCCCAGACGCTATCCGTGAACCCTCAACTCTGCACCCCACCCTCAAACCCTAAACTCTACAAACCTCAAGCAGGAAACCCAACATAAGTTCTTTCAGCCCTAACCTGAATGGTTGCTTTTCGATATGGGGGTTTCCGAAAACAGTGAACCCTAGTATAGTACCCTAAATAGTAGGATCCTTATACGGAACCTTAAACTAAGGTACCCAAACTCCCATATCGGCTCTGGGTCATGAGGGTTTAGGGTTTACCTTGAGGCTCATACCCTACACCGTTTTTTAGGGCGCCTACTTTTTAAGAGAACAGATCCTAACCACAAGACTAGGTATCCTAAAAAAGGGGGTCGGGGATGAGCCTCTAGGTAGGGGATCGAACGCTGCAAGAGACAATACGCCACACTCTCCGTCCAAGTGCTGATGTCGTATGGTTCGACCTTGGAAGGTTTCCTGTATCGGTACCCAGAGACTCCAATATCCCTAAATTTAGGAATATACCTTAAATTGTGGTAGGATCCCTAATATGATTTAAGGTATATTCCTTAATTAAGGCATGTTGGAGTCTATCGGTACTTGAAGGCCACACTAGATTCATAGATACGGGCTTCAGAGCTTCGCAGGGCCCCTCAAAATACCTCTCATAGAGATCCCTTATAGTAGCCCCTGTAGACCCCTTTAAAGGAACCCTATTCTAATTACTAAGCCAAAGAGAGACAGGGAGACAGAGTAGAGAGAGAGAGCCTGCGACCCCGAAAATCCTAAGCCCCGAAACACCAACACCTTGTAGAACTTGGAGGTTCATGGGTAGCTATAGGTAGGGTTCATAGGGGTCCTTTAAAGGGATCTATAGGGATTCGAGAAGGGTATATGGGTTAGGGTTCATGGGTAGTTATAAGTAGAGCTAAGTAGGGTTATAAGTAGGGTAACTATACTCATAATCCGTATTATGGGACTTCTAATTACTATCCCTACTTATAACTACCCCTGAACCTCCAAGAACGGTCTGGGCTCTGGTATCGTTGATGGAGACTCCGCCACACATGAAGCTGACGCCCAGCAGCGGAACATATATGAAGTTGCAAAGCTCAGAGGCCCGCAGCACAGCCTAAACCCTGAAGCCGGGAACCCTTTAGCCGCAAGCCCTAGGGTTCTTCAAGGATCATGGGACTTAGTAACTAAGGTCACTATTAGGGTAACTATACTTATAACTGCTGTTGACTCGCCAGTCATCTAGGGATTCTTGCAAGAGCTGGTTTATGGCACCGAGGTCAGTATTACAATGCTCCCAGTTTTCCCTTTGTGGAGGCTCTGAAGACAGATCGGGGCTATACCACTACTGGTCCGTCAAGCTCTCTCCCCCCGTGCCTTTCAGAGCCAAAACCCTCAAGCCCCAAATCCTAAAAAGCCCTGAGCCCTCAAGTATGGCCTTAAATTAAACTCTCTTGCAGGCTTTCTCAGACCGAGGGTACCGTGTCATGCGGCGTCCGAGTGTCTTCATGAAGGCTCGACAAGTATCCACGCGGTTTAGGCCTTTCAGTTGTGGCCCAACCCTAAACTAGGCCCTAAACCCCAAACCTTACTACCCTAAGCCCTAAAGAGGGGTCGAGAGTATACCCGAAGTCTTTTTCGCCCGGGCTTGTTGGCTGAGTCTCTGCAGGACACCAAGGTCAAAGGATGTGGTGAAGTTCTTGCACGGACAGGCTGCAGTGTATATGAAAGACTTGAGTGTAGGCTTCCCCTAAGGTACGACCAACCCTGCGGGGGTTGGTCAAGGGAGAACCAGAAGCCCCCACAGCACCGGCATGCGTATAAAATGACATTGGTCCTTATTGAACATAGTCAGGCCCCTATATTATGCGTGTCAAGGTTTTCTAGTTTTGCCAACCGGCTGTTCTACGCGCTAAGCCAAGCCCTAAACCCGAAACCCTGAATCCCAGCACGTTTGCCCCTTGAACCCACAACCCCAAACCCGAAATAACTTGACCATGTCAGCCGCCTCTGTGACCTAACGAGCCCACCACTCGGAGCACCCGTCGAATCCAGCGATTTGAGAAGCCTTGCAACTCTGTGCTCGGGTTTAGGGCCTTGAGGGCTTTGGGTTTAGGGTTTAAGGTGAGGGCTCCTGAGCCCAAGATCCATATGATATGAGTCCTTGGAGCCTCTGGACAACAGGCAGTTCCATCACTCAGAGACACACACACACACACACCCGAAAATCACACACACACACACACAAAAAGAACACATGTGGCCTGAACCCTGCCTAGGCATACCTACGCCTCACAACCACCTCAGCCCAAGCCCCACAAAGCCCCACCAGGCAAAAGGTTGGCGGCCCTCTCCGCTGAAGTGCTTCGTGAGCGGGCTTTGGGCGTATATGGCCCGTCTTTTGTAATGAGCTGTTGCTTTGTTTCTGTAAGGGGGCTTGTGCAGCTGAGGTAGGGTTTAGGGTTTAGTTGTCTTTTAAATGTTAGGGCTTCGGGCTTACTTGCCGGCTGAGAAAGTTTGCAAGTAGGTTAGCTGTACATCCGCATGTTTTGATTGATTTGGTTAAGTTCCCTGATCTACCGAGCTTCCTTGCCTCTCATTCAAGAAAACCGACACATGTCCAACCACTCCTTGTCATAGGGATGTAGAAATTTGATGGATAGTAATATGTCGGGTTTATAAGTCGCATGACTATAGTTATAGCCTACATGAGCGACTGATCAACAGCATGTGTAACTAATCATGAACCTCCAAGTATTATCAAAGGGGGAAAGGAGGGACCCTTGATGGGAACCCCTACCCTATAATGGGGCTATATAATGGGTATATAAGTATATAATGGCTATATATGGGTATATGCCTAGGGGTCCTTATTAGGGGTCCCTCCTTTTGCCCTTGAACTGTACGATCTGCCGCAGAACGCGGCCCTTTGATACACATGACCCTCCAAGTATTCGGCACCAAAACATCGACGCTTTTGGGTGTTGCTTCAGCAAGAAAGGCAAGTAAGGCCTATGTGGAGGTCGGAGTACCCAGACACCCTCAAGCCGTTTAGGGTTTACCTGTGGATCCAAGAACCTACCGTTTTAAGGGTCAGACCCTCTAATTAAGGGGTCATAACCTACTATTTTGCAGGTTTGGGGATACAGGTAGGCTTATGTAGGTCTGAAAACCGCGTCAGTGCTCCGATTGGAGGGCTTTAGCCAGCCAAAACTACAACCATTCAGAGGACAGTTCTTTCTATTTTGGGTACTTGGACGCTCTGGATAACAGTGGACGACCCGCCGCATATGTTTTTTACCTACAAGCCCGATTCAAGGGGCCAAACCCATAATATTGAACATCTCACCTAAGCCCTGTACCCGAAACCCTGAAACCTAAACCCTAAAACCCAAACCCTAAGCAATAAAGCCTAAACCCTTAAAACCTAAAGCCCAAACCCTAAACTCTTGGCCTCTCTAGTCGCATGGTGTGGGGCTTGCGAGTGTGGAGATGTCCTTCTTGCAGTTGGCCACGGCCGTGACTCATAGAATATAGGGCCCTTCGGAGCCACGGTTCAGGGTTTAGGGTTTAGGGTTTAGGGTTTTAGGGTTTAGGGTTTAGGGTTTAGGGTTTAGGGTTTAGGGTTTTAGGGTTTAGGGTTTAGGGTTCAGGGTTTTGGGTTTAGGGTTTTGGGTTTAGGGTTTAGGGTGGCTTTAGTAGTACATCTAAGAACGGGGCTTTCATAAAGAAAACAAACAGTTACTCCTCCAGGATAGCTGTTCCTGCCACCACAAAAAATTGCTCACGCTTGGCATTCATAGGAGGCCAAAAGGGTTTTTAGCCCATGGGGGTTTCGCAGGGGTTAGGGTTCCCATAATCGGGTTCATATTAAGGAATCCCTACCCCAAGAATCTTAAACCCCCCTTCTGGCCTCCCATCATACATGCAACGGCCACAGCCTCCCGTCCCATAGGGTTGAAAATTTACGAAGAAATCTCGGGCCTCGATGGTAACCAATCCCAGAAACGCTTGAACACTGAGTGTGTAGGGGTTCTTGGTTTCGAGGCCGCTTTAGCCTCATATTTCGCATATACCTTCTGATTCTGAGTCTACCCGAAAACTCCCGTGTGATGATAGGTCTCGATAAGAGTTTGATGCTCCAGTTCTGGAGTGTTTCGGAACATCGGTTTAGATTCGGTGTCGAAAGCTCTGGCTCCGAGGGTACGCATGAATCATTCGGTTGATGATATAAATCCTGCATTATCTTAAGGACCTTAAACTATGGGAATTATGGTATATTCCTTTTTTTGGGTAATGCAGGGTTTATATCATCAACCGGAATCTTTGGTCTGTCTGGTTTCAGAAACCCTAGAGCAACCCAGCGACGGAACCCAGCAGCAGTCTTTCGTGACTATCACTTATGTAAACTGAATACCCTAAGGCCCCAAAGTAGTTCCTTTTTGGGGGTTCATATATAGAATCCTATAAGGTAATCCCGAAAATGAACTACTATGGGGCCTATGGGTGAATATAGATATAAAGAAACATAGGCGTGCATGTACATAAATCAGAAAACAAGCAACTAGCATGTATGCCTCCCGTCCCATAGGGTTGAAAAATTACGAAGAATTCTCGGGCCTCGATGGTAACCAATCCCAGAAACGCTTGAACCCTGAGTGTGTAGGGGTTCTTGGTTTCGAGGCCGCTTTAGCCTCATATTCCGCATATACCTTCTGATTCTGAGTCTACCCGAAAACTCCCGTGTGATGATAGGTCTCGATAAGAGTTTGATGCTCCAGTTCTGGAGTGTTTCGGAACATCGGTTTAGATTCGGTGTCGAAAGCTTTGGCTCCGAGGGTACGCATGAATCATTCGGTTGATGATATAAATCCAGCATTATCTTAAGGACCTTAAACTATGGGAATTATGGTATATTCCTTTTTTGGGGTAATGCAGGGTTTATATCATCAACCGGAATCTTTGGTCTGTCTGGTTTCAGAAACCCTAGAGCAACCCAGCGACGGAACCCAGCAGCAGTCTTTCGTGACTATCACTCATGTAAACTGAATACCCTAAGGCCCCAAAGTAGTTCCTTTTTGGGGGTTCATATATAGAATCCTATAAGGTAATCCCGAAAATGAACTACCATGGGGCCTATGGGTGAATATAGATATAAAGAAACATAGGCGTGCATGTACGTAAATCAGAAAACAAGCAACTAGCATGTATGCATCTGTATCGTTCTATATCTATGGGTTTTGTCTGCATTTGCGTGTGCATGTATCTCGAAGCAGAGAGCCCTGGGTTGAAGAAGAGATTGTTTGGGCTCCCTGCTAGGATTCAGGATTTCGGCATGCTGGGACGTGGGTGAGCCGTGGGGTAGTCGATTTTCCGGCGCTGCTGCAATGCAGCAGCGCGCCGCCTGCCGCTGCCAAAATTGGGTGCAGATCTACCCCAGCATGGCAGTAAAGCTTTAACATCGTATCTTACAGCCCACCTATACGGAACCTAAACCCCAATCCCGAAATCCTATTACACCCAAAGTCCTAAACCCTACACCCTAAACCCAAGCCCAGACAAAAGCCGCGAGAGAGCCTAGCAATGATTATGTTTCGGATTACCGAGCTCGGCCTGTACCTAGCGGCTCATACCCTACCCCTTGTTAAGGATACCTGGTCTTATGGTTAGGATGTTATCTTAAAAGTAGACGCCCTAAACAAAGGGGTAGGGTATGAGACTCTAGGTAGAATGCCAACCCCGAAGCGAAGACATTCCTATCTAGCCTTGGCGTTCTTCTGGTTGGCTCTTTAGACTTTAACTTTTTGGGTTTCTGTATGGTTTATAACAAGGAGACTAAAAGTTTTAACGTTTAGGAGTTCAGAAGTCAGCCAAGTAGCGGTCATACAGGAACCCGATTAAGAATCCCTGGGTCGTCGTTGGACTTCTACATAGGAATTTCTACATATTTTTTTGGGAGTTGCATTTACAGGGTTCCTTATAATCAGGTTCCCAAACTCTAAAACCCTAAACCTTAATCCCATAACTGTGCCATTTCCAGCGGTGCTCAAGAGCTGGAAGTCGGGTGACGGCGAACTCATCAAGTCCAAAGGGTCCATCTACCCTATGTGGGTTAGGGTTTAGGGTTTAAGGGTTTAGGGGTTTAGGGTTTAGGGTAGTTCTCTAGATCAGGGTCCCCGTGTAGGTCCCCAGAATAGTACATCACCAATACCAAAAGGAGCCTAAAAGGGTGACCGTCACTTTAGAGAACTGCCTGCACGGTGTTTATTTATGTCTTACATTGTCTATCATAAGCCTTATAGGAAACTCCAGAAAGTTGGAATATGGTTTCATGGTAGGATACCCTATAATTTACCACAGAAGGGTTAGGATAATCATATTCCAACTTTCTGGCTTTTGCCTTAGCAAAGTGAGAGGGAAGCAAGAGCTTCATAAAGAACCCTGCAAGAGGTAATGTAGGGCTTCTCGAAAACATGCCAGTAGGATTCCTTTAAGGTTCGTGACATAACGAA